GAAACATCTCAAAGCTGGAATGTAGGGCAATGCAGTAGCATTAAGACTTCCAAAATGACCTCTAGTAAAACCAGTACTAGTTAGCCCAGAATAAAAGACAAACACTTTCCTTTGCCTTTGAAAACGAAGTAAAATTTTTCTTCAGTAAGTAAAGCTCAAAGAATATGCCTATTTCAAACATGCCCTACAAATGATAATTAAAGTTGTTCTTTTGACAGAGAAAAGGAATAGTACCCACCAAAACCAAAGACGTTTTGAAGAATGCCCCCCCAACAAAATACTAACAGAAGACTACATCAAACAATGAACAAATTTCAGGAGCAGATTACAACCTATCTACATTAACCTGCAGTGCAAATTGCTTAAACTGATCAAATAAAAGTCATAGATTAGTGGACTTTGTCAAAAAGCAAACACATCCATTTGTTGCCTACAGGAGACACACACCAACAATCAGTGGAAACTATATCGCAAAGATTTTGCTATTTTTATTTTCATTTATACAAAACTGTGTTTTCATGTTTAATACTTTTTAAAAAGATGTATTTATTTTTTATCAAGAGATATACAGAGAGAAGAAGAGAAAGAATGATCTTCCGTCCATTGGTTCACTCCCCAAGTGACCACAAGGGCTGGAACTGCACCAGCATGAGACACAAAGAAGAAACTCCTGCCTCCTGGCTGATGCAGGATCCCAAAGCTTTGGGCTGTTCTGGACTGCTTTCCCAGGCCACAAACAAGGGGCTGGATGGGAAATGAGGCCACTGGTATACAAACCAGTGCCCACATGGGATCCCAGCATATGCAAGGCAAGGACTTCAGCCACTAGGAAGTTCCAATTGCACTGGGTCTTTATATTTAATCCTTTACTGATTCATATACAGAGGCAACATTATATTCAAGAATGCTATTGGTTTTCATTTCTTCAGTGATATATTAGCCATTCAATAGAATGTAATTTCCCTTCATGGCAATGTAAATTTCTATTTGTTTTCCTATTGTGGATTTTGTTTTGTGGCTTTTGATTTAAGGGGATGCACAGTAACTGTGTAATGAAACTATCATATTCAGATGTGAGGATCTAATGTAATGTGCATCTCTACTTCCAGATCAAAGACGGACTCCCAATAACATGATTAAATATATATTGACAATATATTATCAAGATGCTAGAGTCCGTTATTTTTTGTTCCTATGATGATGGACTTATGATTGTTTATGAAGAGCTATAGTGTTAAAAAACATAGGGAAATTGCAGAAGGGGAGGCATTTAGTGAGAAAGTAAGGGGAATCTCGGAGAGTATGGAACTGTGTCATAAAGTAGTAATAAAAAGAAGTGAAAAAATGCAAAAACAGTTTTATCAAAGATAGCACAGGGCAGCATAAAACGAGTAAACTTAGAAAAACTTACTTGTTGCATAATACAACATGTCTTTGGATATTCAAAAAGTGAATATCAGATAAATTTAGAACACATAGGCTCAAAACCAAAACAGTTCTAGTAAAGAGAAATGCACACCTTTAAAAGACTGACTGAGAGGTTAAACTAAGACAGTGACTTGAGACAGTGATCCTTCCCTGAGTAGTTTATTTGGTAAATATCTGAAGTAACCAGATAGAAAAATAGATGGAAAGTCAGATTTGGACAGAGCAAAGAAGAGTCAGAGAAAAAGGTCTTCAGTCTGCTGGTTCACTCCCCAGATGGCTGCATTGGTCCAGAACTGAGCCAATCTGAAGCCAGCATGCAGGAGATTCTTCCAAGTGCAAGCCCCAAGGCTTTGGGCTGTCCTCTGTTGGTTTACCAGGCCACAGATACTGAGCTGGATGAGAAGTAGCACAGTAAGGGCCTGAATAGGTGCCCATATAGGATCTCAAAGTGTGCAAAGTGAGGACTTTAGTAACTACACTTTAGCATTTTCTCTGCATAATTTTCTATGTATGATTGGTTGGATATGGTTAACGTATATCAGTAGTGGGTACAGTGTGATGATTCCAATGGCTAAAACCTCACATTGTAAATACCAAGATCCCATAGTGGTTCTGGTCCATGTCCTGGTTGTTCCACTGCCCTTCCAAATTCCTGCTTACAGCAAGCAGTGGAGGATAGCATAAAGAAGTGGGAGGCAGCACCCACATACGCAACCCAGAAAACTCTTGGATTGTGGCTTGATAAAAGTTCAATTCCAGTCATTGTGGTCATTGAAGTAGTAAATCAGTGAATAGAACATCTTTCTCTCTCTCTCTCTGTTTCTCTGTAAATCTGATCTTCTTTTCAGAAATATTAAAATACTATATAAAATACTATTATACAGAATATACATATACATATTATATATAATATTTTAAATTTATTCTACATATTACACATATTTAAGTAGAAAATGTTCTTTTCAGAATAAACGTAAATGATTTGTAAATTTATCCATATATATATCAGCAGAGAAATAAAGAGATTATAAAATTTAAAGTAAGTAGTACGACTTCATCAACCTAAAGCTGGTCCTGATGAACATTTTCAGATATTAAAAACACTATAAGCCAAAAAGCTAACTTGAGGAAGTGACCACTTCCGACTCTAGATACTTCTTCCAAGTTGACTTACAAGTCTGGGTGGTGACTGGCAGAGGTAGGATGAGATTACAGTCAAGTCCAAGGAACCTGGACCCTCTGAGACCTGCTCATCATCATGCTGCCTTCTGCTCATTAGTGCACATTCAGTGTAATTAAGAACAGGGTGTTTATGGACTCAACAACGAAGGACTCAGCAAGGGAGAGGGCAGAGCTGGCCCCAGGGACCCAGAGCACCCTGAAGGAGCCAAACTCATCACACTGACATGCTGACATCAGTGACAGCATCAATGAGTGCTGGAACTCAGGCAAGGATAAACAGGCCTGGCTGTGCTGCTCTGCCACAGTTCCAGCCACATCCCTGCAGACTGTTCAGGTGAGTGAGGCTGAGTGTGTGTGTGTTCAGGGGTAGCTGCCTTTGCTCTGGAAGGGAAGCTGTTTCATGTAGGGCTGTTCAAGGCCAGGTAGGGAGTGGGTAGGTTTTCAGCTCCCCTGTTCTCTGTCTGCTGTGGAAGAGGAAGGTGTGAGTACCCAGGGAGAGGGTGGCTATCGCTGCCCAGTGTGTCCAGCAATACCTGCTTGTGTGGCCCTGGAGGGAGACTGTGTGCAGCAGAGGCATTGATGCCCTGAGTCTGAGGCTGCTGCATCTCTCAGGTGTGAGAGAGGCAGTGTGCATCAGGCAGTGCACTCTGAGCCCAGATGGGGAGCTCTTCCTCTCACAGGGCCCTGGCTCTTGTATACCTTCTCTATCAAAACTAAGATTTTTTTTTTTTCTTTCATTTTAGTGTCTCTTCCTTCTGGTGTCCTTCAGTACTTTGTGGCATTTTATGATTGTTTTCTGGCATTTTTTAGACGCAAGACATGACTCAGTAACTAACTATTGAGAATAGATCAAATGTGACAACTAAAATAAGAAAACATAGACAGGTCTGTTTAGGAAATCAGTCTTTTTCATGTTGGGTACTGACATGAGCATTGCATGCATCTACCCATTTAATTCTCTCAGTAAATCTTGGTAATATAAAGCACTGTCTGGTAACAGATGCGAGTTAGAAACTGAGGACGCCAGGTTGCACTTTTAGGGTCATACATGGTAGTTTTCTTTAAGTAGATGGAGAGCAAGGACAAGGTACACAGAAATTAAAAAAAAAAAAAAAACAGAGAAAACAAAGCCATTACAAAACCTTTCTCTGATTTCCACAGAGGTAGAGATCGCATAAGCCTCAGCTTTGCTGCTCCCACTATGGGAAAGGGGCCTTTCTTTCCCTCTCTGTTAGTGACTGGGCCATTTGCTTGAAACGGTCAAGTGCAATTCTTCTGAGATGCTTTCATTCATACTAAAGGTATGTATGATTCATGAGTTTAGATTCTATTAATAGTATATACATATCAGTTGCATCAATTCACAGGCTAGAACATGACATTTCAGTGCTAAATAAAATATGATAAAATCAGAGCCTGATAACTGCTGTGTTTAAATACCTCCCAGTTTGTCATTCCCTGTGTTGGGAATATTTAAAATCCTAAGAGCTGCTCTGAAACATGCATTAATCCTGGTTCATCATGCATATTTTGCTGAGCTATAGAATGTCAAAATTAGTCGTTCTTTTAAGTCTCAACCTTCTGTCCACTGACTTCCATTTCCCTCCTATGCAATTACTTGTGTGTTTGACATTCTGCTATGAAATTTTCACTCCCATAGGTGAGAATATGCAGAATTTCAGTTTCTGTGCATGGTTGGTTTCCCAAAACTTAGTGGAGGTGTAAGAAGTATGCCCATCACATACTAGCACAGACCAGATTCGTAAGTTGCTGAATGTGAGCAGAGAAATGCAAGGACCTAAGGATCGTGATTTAGACCTGATGAAGGGCTGTTGTCACTGAGTCCACATCTGTCTTGTAACAAGCTTCTAGTACATTTGGATGTAATTGCTACACAGAAGGCTTTTGTGAAAAGGCAGGATAATGCACTAATACGGGTTTTAATTTTAAATTGCAGCTCTCACCGTCTTTGTTTCAGCAGAAAGAAGACAAAAAGAAGATACCAAGTAGAGATGAGAGCCTGTGGATGGCATGGCGATTCAACAGGCTGATTCCACACCTGCAGCACCATTATTGTATTTGGTAATTAGTTCTAGCTTTGGTTGCTTCACTTCTGATTCCTCTTGTTTATGGACTGGAAAATCATTAGAAGATGATTCAAAAACATTGGGTACCTGCAGATGTTAGAAACGCTGGACTCCCTCTCTCTTTCTCCTTCTCTCTGCATACCTTCATTTTAAAAAATAAATAAATCCAAAGGAAAGATAAGTTTTATGCTATAGACAAGGAATAAACTATGGACATGTTGCAGCAATACTATTCTTCTCACTAAGTCCAAAGCACATTCACTGATTTGAAACTGTCATGCTCATTTCCTTGTGTTCTGCAAGTTTTCTCTAGGTCATTCCACGAAATCAGAAGATACACAGAGTCACGTCATCCAGAAAATGAGCTTCCTTTCTCTCACAGGGCCTGGAATTTTGGGAAACTTGATTATGCTTTTGAAACATGTACGTATACTAGTCCTGAGTCATGAGAAAAATTCCATAGATCTTATCCTCATTCAATTGGCTATTTCAAACATTGTCATTATTTGTACCACAGGAATCAGAGACATAACCACAGTGGTGTATTTTAGTAACTTCCTACTAGGTGAGACTGTTTGCAAAATCATGGTTTACCTGAGTAGGGTGGCACGGGGCATTTCCATCTGCTCCACCTGCCTCCTCAGTGTAGTCCAGGCCATCACCATCAGTCCCAGGAACACCTTGTGGAGAAAGTTCAAACCACACACTGCATGGCAGGTTCTTCCCCACCTCCTCCTCTTCTGGATCTTTAGCTTTCTCATAAGCTCTAACTTACGGCACTACATCACAGCAGTCAACAACAAGAATGGATCTAATGTTAGAATGTATGTTGGTTATTGCTACATGCTGCCAGCTCCACAAATCATCAGGTGGCTCTTCCTCTGTCTCATGGCTCTTCGAGACCTCACCTTTCAGACTCTCATGGGCTGGAGCAGTGTGTACATGGCTCTCTATCTGTACAAACATCACAAGCGTGTCCTCTACCTCCAGAACTCCAGGTTTGCCAAATATCCCAGCCCAGAGATCAGAGCCACTCAGAGTACTCTCATTCTCATGACCTGCTTCCTGTTCTTTTATTGGACAGATTTCATTTTCTCCTTACACATAGGGATCACATTGTCAGAGGAATCAACCACATTACATGCTAAAATACTTCTAGAAGTTGGTTATTGCAGTCTGAGTCCCTTTGTCCTGATCAGCAGGGGTATTCATATAACTAAATGCTGGAGTGCTCACTGAGAATCTGAAGGAACTGCTTCTGCACAATCCTTCAGGTATGAAAGATTTCTTTCTAGGGATTGCCTTTCCTCGCATTCATCATAATGTTAAATCCATCAAAGTCATGCAAATGGACTTTATTTTAAAAATCAATTTGGTACCAGGCAATCTATGCCTCTTCAGGGCTCCCAGGAAGTGGAAAACACAGATTCCTTCCAGTTTCTCTTTCTCTTTCTGGTATATCGGCATAATGCTTTTATATTCTTGCTTATACAACTAGGACTGTTGTTTAGTTGGCATTCTGACTCTGAAGAAAAAGGAAAATAACAGAAAAAGAGACTCCATGTGTTTGCTGACACACATATAGAAAGTAAGAGAGAGAGAGAGAGAGAAAGAGAGAGAGAGAGAGAGAGCAATCCCAAAATGTTTAGGACAAAAACAAAGAAACAAACAAAGAAAACCCCACATTTTAAAAGAAATTTCTGGGGCACATTTTATATATTCTTAAATTTATAGTCTATGCATCCTCCAAATCTAAGGTGGAATAATCTGCCACACATACTGGCAAGCATAGCAACCAGGGCTGGAGGTGGACCTTGTGGGGATTGTAGAGGGATGCTATGCCTAGGCTTCAGTTTCTACTGGTGTAGAATAGGGACAAAGTCCATTCGGTCCTGCAGAAGACATCTGATACCACAGTGCAGGAACGAAACAAATTGATTAGCCCAGCCATACATTGACAGCAAATATCTAGGCAATGCAGGATCTGGGATGCCCAATGTCTGCAAATGGACCTCGGGAGGATTTCCTCATCCTTGGATCAATGAGATCAACAGTATTTCAGAGGTATCAAAACCACTTGAGTGGAGCCCTTGGAGCAAGCACCACATCAGGGACCCTGGGATAAAATCAGGCAGCCATTCTCCAAATCTAGACGCTGGAACAGATGGCAGGCTGGATAACGCTTCTCCCCTAATTTTAGCTGTTCCAGATACAGGAGGAAGAAAGGGAAAATTTGGAAACAATGGTCTCACCCACTCTCCACTGTTCCTTCACCCTTCCCATGCTGGTCAACTATGTAAACATCAGCAAAAATAAATTTTTAAAAAAGAAGGTGCCCTTTGTTCTCAGCATTGCCTGATTAATATATTGAAGGAGAACATGTTAGTCCCGTAGAATTATGCTCAACTGAACAATAGCTTGATGAAGTAGAGGATGAGAACGACAGAAGAAACAGTTCAGAGTATCAGAAGTAAATTTGGCCAATAGTTTAGAGTATCAGAAGCTCATAATAAGTCTAATAAATAGCATTTATAAATGATTATACAGAACATCAGCTTACTGTTTGAAAATTTAAAAAAAACATGTTTAACATGAATTTTTTTTCTGTCAGTCCAGTATTTATATCAGATGCACACATTGCATGTTTTTGGTTTAATTATACCAGGAAGGTTATTCCATGTTTGTTAGAGGTGAGCTGCCCAATGGTGAAAGTGATCAACCCTTTCTGATGATCCCGGGCCAAGAGTTACATTCACTTAAAGGCATTGGGGAAGAATTAGTGCAACTGGAAAAACATCAAGTCCATAAAGCAAATCTGAAATTGGTCTTAGAAGCAAATGCCAGCAAAGAAAGGTTAGATGATGATGGGAGGATTTGAAGAAGGCTCTGGCACTAAGTCTCAGGGGAAGTGACTTGGGAGATGAAGAGCAAGATATCCACAGGACTGCTCAGTTCAGCATGCAAGGCAGTTCCAGAAAGATGTCTCCAGGTATTCTACAGACATCAAGTACAGACCTCACTTCAGGGGCCCTATGGAACATAAGCCTCACTTAAAATGCAGTTGCATTCATGGAGTAGATGCAGTGTAGTTTCTTTATTCATTCCTGTTTGGAATCCTACTCAGCCAGTAAAAAGAATGAATTTCGACTATTTGCAACCAAATGGTCCCAACTAGAGACCATTATGTTCAGTGAATTAGGTCAATCCCAAAAGGATAAATATCATATATTGTTTCTGATATAAAGCAACCTTCAAGAAAAACTACAAAATCAATAGCCCTTTTAACACGGTTTGTGTTACATCTCAGGAGTTTTGATAAAAAAATATTTTTCTTATTAATTTTCTCACTGACTCATAGGTTACACAGTAGCATCAATTTTTTGATTTTGACTTTTTGATTTTCAATGCTTCAAGCCACTCATTGGTCATTCAGTAGCATGTTATTTAATTTCATGTTGTCAAATTTCTATTTTTTCTTCCTGTTGCTTTTCTTTTATGGCTTTTCATTCAACAAGATGTATAGTAACTGTGTAATAAAGACTATTGTATCCAAATGTGAAGGTCCAATGCAGTATGCATCTATACTTCTGAATCAAACATGGATTCCCAATTACACTGTTATATATCTTGAGAACAGGATACTGGATTCCCTGCCATTGTCCATACCTACAATATCAGGATACACTTAAATAGCAGAATGACAGACTTATGAGTGTTAATGAAAGACTATCATGTTTTAATGACTGTATCAATGAGTGGAGGCATGGGAATTTGGGGAGGAGAAAAGAGAATGCCCAGAGCCTATGAAACCGTATCATAAAATAATAAAATAAATACATTTAACTTTAAAAGTTGAAATGAAGCAATTGTGAGAGGCAGATCCCCCGGGCAGGTTTCCTGTGTGTGTGAAAACTCTTCTGCACATTCTGGCACACTTGGGATTGTTGGAAATGATGTTCTGAGTGTGAAGACACTCTCTGAGCAGCTGTTGCAGTAGTCATTATGTCTAATATGTGAGAGGGCGAGAGGGGCACCATTCCAAACCACGCAAAAACAGTGGGCTTTCCCCCGCTCTCTCTTTTATTTTCCACAACCCCTCACCTACCCTCGCCACCCCCTCCTGCATCTGGAGAAACTGCAGCAGGGAGGTTCGCCAGCATCTTCCCAGGCACAAAGACAGAATTGGTCTCATTCTGACGGCCCCACAGTTTTCCCCACACCCTTTCTCTCCCCTTCTCCTGGCAGAGGTGAGCAGTACTGGTTGTTGTCTTGGCTGTTTCACCATTGTTGTTGGACCAGGGGAGTTCCACGGTGGTGAAGATACAGGGCTTATTTGAGCTCTAGGGTGCTTTTAGCAGTAGACTGCAAGGTGCAAATGCGGCTGGGTTGCCCCTTAGTGAAATGAGATGAGAGTTGCTTCAGCGGGTGGGGAATTAGCTCAGGAGCTGCAGTGCTTGCTTAGCAGGTGAGAGGTGGTGGGATCCATACCCATATTCTCCATGCTCCTCATTATGAAAACAAGAAAAAGAAGCCTCTGTGATTTAATTCAGTGGAACACTTCAAGCATCCACTGTGATTACAGACTACATACCACAGATTGTGCAGAACGTTGTCTCCTTACCTTGCAGGCTTTAGATCCCGAAGGGGCACTGGTTTCCTTCCTGGCTTGTCTACTCTTTTCTTCATGTAAAATGTTATGTTCATTGCACTTTTGGTTAACCCATTCCTGGATCCCTGGGAAAAAATCCCACTTGGTCAGGGTGGGTGATCTTTTGCATGTGCTATTGGATTAGAATTTTATTGAGGAGTTTTGCAGTTTTATTGAGGTCAGGGGTATTGGTCTTGTAAAGGGGTGTGGTTATTGATGGCTCGCACCCGCTTGTCAAGTTAATAGAGTGGACAGGGCGTGGAAATGGAGTTTCTGCACTCCGCACTCCTACGTCTTTTCATACCTCGTTTCCACCTTTCAAGTTAATCGACAGGCACCCCATCCCTCCTGCCTTTCACTCCATTCAGAATAGATGACAGTGCAGAGATTGCTCCAGTGGCTTACACTGGCAGGGTCCCTCCAGGTTCCTATTGTGCCAGGTTAGGTTAATTAAAGTCTGGGCTCTGATAATTCCCTTCCTGTCTAAAACTTTGTTTGTGCAGCATGACTCTCAATCTGATTGGAGGATGAGAACTTGAAAAGCCTTGAAGTTTGCTGCTTGGCACAGTACCTCCTGGAGTGTTGTGGGAGTTGCTGTGGCCAAGTTTGGACAATAAAGAATTCTTCAACTCTACACTTGTGTCCTGCACTATCTCTCTCGCTCTGTACTAAAGTCTGTGATTCTCTTTTGTTGTATCTTCTCTGGCACTCATAAGGACATGTCTGGAAGGGATCCTCCCTTTCAATTGTTTTGATTAGTTGGAGAAACATTCATGCTTTCTTAAAAGCGTGATACATCTTGACAGTGTAGCTATCTGATCCTTGGACCGTTCTTGAGAGGTTCTTTATTACTGATGCAACAGTATCTTGGTTATTGGCTTATTTAGGCTTCCTAAATGCCTCAATGTTAGTAAATGGCATGTCTCCAAGTGTCTGTTCAATTCCTGTTTAGATCCTCTTGGTTAGGATTCCCATCTATGTGAAAGGTCATCTGCATGTTCTGGAGCACCCTACTTGGGTGTGATCTGGATGATGCTGTGCGTGGGGAAGACAAGATTCAAGAAGCTGTGACCATGACTTTAGAAACTGTTCAAAACCACTTGAACACAGAAGAAAGAATATTACAGAGCAAAAGCGATTGGGATTCTCCTGTTTGCCAGCATTATCTTGTGTGGTGACATAATAGGTAAAATGTCAAAGAGAACACATTCAGCACAGCAAATGAGACTTTTGGGTGGTGTGCAAACAAAATACAAAAGAGTGGAAAAAATGTATCTATTGTAGAACTAAACAGTTATTCTCTGCACAGTAGCCAAAGACATGCAGCAATTAAGAACACTTAAAGTAGTTCTTTAGTTGGAGAAAAAATACCAATTTTTATTACTGGAAATGTATATATTCCACCTTCCTCAATGGCCTGTTCCTGCCTGAAGCAGTGAGGGAAGAGGTGGAGGATCAAGATTTTCACTCTGTGAAACAATGCAACCTCCTGGATTCATGCTTCCACTAAGTGACTTTCCTGCCTTTCAACATGAGGTAAGGCATCCCAGACACCAAGAATTCTCATGAGGACGTGAGAATGGATTGTTTCCTCTGCAAACCCATAACTTGATTATGCTGGAGTGCCTACACTTGAATTTAATGATACATTTATCATGTTTTGCACTGCCATGCCAAATTGCGGTGGTTTTCCACATTTCCAGATACCTGCCTATCGCTGTTGACCTCTTACTCAGATTTTTCTTTTCTTTGCCCAGGTTTAATAAGGCACCTTCATTCTGGCACTTAGCTCAAAGTCACTGGATACTGACACTATAGACCTTGCGGTAGCCTTTAAGTTACTCATAGAACTTCCCAATGCCTTGTTTGTGACAATAGTGAGTGCATGATGCTGGCTTATTTGATTGTGAATTATAGGATTCCTACCTGTCTCCTTGAGTTTTTTCTGAGATAGGAGAGGATGTGATGTGCACCTAACCACAATGAAGTTGGAGATGTGTCAGTGACACTAGGTTGTTGGCAAATCAGGCTGTGGCTGAGTGAAAGGAATGTTTTATAGGCCAGAAAAAGCACCATGATCAAAACTTGAAAAGGTTTCTTAAGTCTGAAGTGTTGTGGGCTAAGGAGTTGACTATCACTCATTAAGCCAAGCACTACAGGGAGTGGGTTGGCTCTAGAAGCACCTGGTCTCAGCTATATCCAATATGCGCTAATGAGGGTATGGGGTAAAGAGTAACAAGAAGTATGTGAGAGGTCAAGAGAGGAGGCAATAAAGGAAGGCCTCAAAGATGCTTCAGAGAGACTTCCACCATCACTGGTCTCCTGTAAGTTCTTCATTCCTCAGACCATCGTGGTGTCCATGTTACTGGCGCTGCTGGCCGGAACACTGAAGGGATTTTACAGTTATGGATTTGGAGTAACAGTTTATAAAATTTTAAAAGAAATGAAATTAAGATCCAGGTATTGACAGCTGGTGTTCATTGGGCTGATTCTCCAGCCATCAAGCACAAGCATCCCATATATGCACCTGATAGTCTTCCAGACGCTCCAATTCCAATTCAGCTCTCAGGATGCCCCAACTCCCTGTGTGTCATTCTTGCATGGGGGCCATGCTAATCTTCTCTCTATTGTTTTAATTTTAGTATATGTGCTGCTGTCTATGTTCTTGGGTCCCTGTCCTCATGTGGATGACCCAGAGGAAACACATGCACAGCTCAGCTAAGCTGTGACTATTTGAGGAGCAAATCCATGGATGGAAGACCTGTTTCTCCTTTTCTCTCCTTTTAAATAAAAGTAAGTAAATCTTAAAAAAAGGAAATGAAAAGAAAATCCAATTATGAACCCACTACTTGAATGCTGGCAAAAACGTATTGATCCTGGAGTATCCTGTTACTTATATTTTTATTTAGTTCTTCCATTGGTGTACTTAATTCCTATATGTGGTAGCAACAGAACTGCCTGCAAATGTCTCTTCAGATGGCAACAGCTATATCCTTAAAGGTGACCACATATGGGTAGAGCATGGTGGTCTAGCAGCTAAAGTCCTTGATTTGAACGTGTTAGAATGCCATATGGGTGCTGGATCTAATCCTGGCAGCCCCACTTCACATTCAGGCCCTGCTTATGGCCTGGGAAATCAGTTGAGGACAACACAAAGCTGTGGAATCCTGTATGTGCAGGGGAGACATTAAGGAAATTCTTAGCTCTGGATTTGGATCAGTACAGCACTGGCCCTTGCAGTCACTTGGGGAGTGAATCTCCTCTCTGTATATTTGACTTGCAATAAAAATAAAATGAATCTTTAAAGGAGGGGCCTGGGAAATCAGCAGAGAGAAGAGAGAAAAGCTCAAAGCCTTAGGATCCTGCACCCATGTGGGAGAATTGGAAGAAGCTCATGGCTCCTGGACCCAGACAGGCTCAGCTTTGGACTTTGCAACCACAGGTGAGTGAACGAGTGCATGGAGGAGCTTCTCTCTCTATTTCTCTGCATGGAAGATGCCTGTGTTTCCACTACTTTTCTCTGCCATTCCAAGGAAATTAGATAAATCTCAAAAATTTAGAAAAAAATTGCAATAATTGTTATGTAAAGTGTTTGATTTAGTTTATCAGCTATTATGGTGACATTTACCTCCATTTCACAGATGACTGAAGCTTAGAGAAATTAAGACATTTTTAAAAGGAGTAAAATCAAATGCAAACAATCTGGTTTTTTTTTATTATTATTTTAAAACCTTGTTGGGCCCGGCGTGGTGGCGCAAGTGGTTAAAGGTCCTCGCCTTGCACGCCCGAGATCCCATATGGGCACCGGTTCTAATCCCGACAGCCCCGCTTCCCTTCCAGCTCCCTGCCTGTGGCCTGGGAAAGCAGTCGAGGACGGCCCAAAGCTTTGGGACCCTGCACCCGCGTGGGAGACCCTGAAGAGGCTCCTGGCTTCGGATCAGCATAGTATTGGCCCGTTGCGCTCACTTGGGGAGTGAATCATCGGATGGAAGATCTTCCTCTCTGTCTCTCCTCTCTGTATATCCGCCTTTCCAATGAAAAAATAATAAAAATAAATCTTAAAAAAAAGCAAAAAAATAAAAAACACCAAAAAACAAACAAACAAAAAAAACCTTGTTAATGATCTCACTAAGCATCTAGAACAGGATGCATGGAGGGAAAAATAAAATAGAGGATAGGGAGCAGACAAGGGAAAGGGGAATGTGCAGTCAGCTTTGGATGTATATGGAGCTTCTGCTCTGAATAATGAGAAAGTCCTGGGAATGGATAGAGTGACAGTTGTACAGCATTGTAAATGTACATGATGACACTAAAATGAATACTGAAAAACTTTAAATGACAAGATGTCTTCTGTATATAAATCTATATAAACATCTACTCTTCTTTTAATATCACACAAGGCTTCAGCATGGTTTTCCCCACTCTAGTTTAAGCATTCATTCTGTTATTCTTTTAAGAAATACTTGCAGTTATTGTTCCATTAATCACACATTGATTCACAATCATATGCATACCACCCAGGTCCAGACTTCTCCTGAAAATCTCTGCATTCATATTTTCTTTCTTTCCATTTAAAAAAAAAAGATTTATTTAATTATATTAGAAAAAGAGGTATACAAACAGAAGAGGAAAGAGGAAGATCATACATCCAATGATTCACTCTAAAAATGAATGCAACTGCCAAAGCTGAGCTGATCTGAAGCCAGGAGTCAGCAACCTCTCCTAGGTGTCTCTCATGGATGCAGAGTCCTAAGGCTTTGGGCTTTCTTCCACTGCTTTCCCAGGCCACAAGCAGGGAGCTGGATGGGAAGTAGGGCTTCCAGTATTAGAACTGGTGTCTATATAGGATCCTGGCAACTGCAAGGTGAGCACATTAGGTGCTAGGCTACCATGCTTGGCCCTGCACTCACATTCTCAACGAGAAACATGAGTCTATCCAGCACAGCTCTCTAGAACCTTCTTCTTGTTGCAGGTCCACCTATTGGCAGGTCTAGGAAATGTGTGGAGGATGCCTCCTGCACCAGGGACCTGGTGAGGGCTGCAGATGTTGAAAGATTCCACAGGTCACCTCAGAAGGTTACAGTAATAAGTGTGAACAAATAGGAATCCTTCCATATATTTCTAAAGTTCTTCTTTTGCCTACAATGCCAGTTTCCCATTTCCAAGCTCTTTAACACTAAAAATTAAAAACCTTTTCCTAAAATGTTACCCTCATTATTTAAGCTATCTTTATCAAAATTTGTTTGTGGTCTTCAGTTGTTGTAGTGTTCACACAAATATAACAGCAAATGAGCAGGTTTTTTCATTATTTCCTTCCAAGTGTACTTTACCTGTCCATGTGCCCAGTGCCTACATTATACTTGCACATACACACTCGCCTGCATGCCTGTTGAAACATGCACTTGTAATCACACATGTACACAGGCAGACACACACATGGTACATACACACAGATATATGTAGATGCATCCCGAGGCACACACAGGCACATAAACCTAGTAAGTGCATCATTAGCTAAAAGCGATCAGGTGTTTATTTCCTAAGGTCCTCCTGCAAGCAGGCAGGTTCTTCCCAGTCACTTTTCAGTGGATGTGGGTGCTATTTATTCATGTCAGATTTTGTCTCTTCTTCTTCATGGGTTAATTTCATTTTATTTTGTTTCATGTCATCTTGCTTCATTTTATTTCATGTCTTCTCTCTGTGTTGTTACATAAGGCACCCTACATGAGGGAAACATAGGGAGAAGGCATCTGGTGTGATTTTATTGGTGTAGTGGTCAACAGGCTTGCCTCACTTGTGACAGGTCCCTTACATGAGCGTGAAACAGGTGTTTATCTTCAAGTGCGTGAAGAGAGTCATCAGTTCTCTCCTGGGCAGCTGTTCTATGTCAGCCCACACTTCCATCTGGGGGTTCCTTAGCAGAACCTTGCCTTCTTCTGTCCTGCAATATTCCGAATTTGAAATGTTAGTATTGCCTCAGCTTCCCCATTGTGACTTTCTATCTTTAAATTTTCTCCACTTTTTCATAAAGGTTACAAATCGCCTGTCATCTTGCCCACAGTGTTGAGGAGAACATGAGGTCTAATTATAAAATGCTTAATATCCAGTGTTGAGGCCATGTGTGGTATTGGGAAACACCAATGCTAAGGTGGCGATCAGTTCAGATTAGTTTAGATTTATGGCAGAGACTGTTGCTTCATACACTAGTAAAATATCCGATGTACCATCCAAAATTATTCAGTGTGTAAAGAGAAAATTTGATATTAATTTGCCTGAAGCATCCACAGACACCAATACTTATGGACTGAGATGACACAGATGATAGACCGCCGGTTCTAATCCCGGCAGCCCTGCTTCTCATCCAGCTCCCTGCCTGTGGCCTGGGAAAGCAGTCCATAATGGCCCAAAGCTTTGGGACCCTGCACCCACGTGGGATACCCTGAAGAGGCTCCTGGCTTCGGATTGGCATAGCATCGACCGTTGCGCTCACTTGGGAAGCATGATGATGACTATTTCTCAGAATTATTAACCAGCACAGACTCTTGGGGCTCACAGCAGCAGAACCTTGTAGCCACCGAGGGGATGATGCAATGGTGTTCCTCAGCAACAACTACTGCAGACACTTTATTGCATGACTCAAGCATGTCCATTTATTGCAAAGCAAGCACAATCATTTATAGTCCCACAGAAGGGGAAGGCAGAAGGGCATCTCCCAACAGTCCTCCCAAACAGCAAAGGCAGCATAATACACTAGAAGGCAGCTCTGTCTCTGTGGACCCTCCAATCCTGCTACAGGTCAGTATACCACATATAGGTGGCATGTATGCTGCAGGTGACATGCATTACGTATTGCTGACAGGCAACATAAGACCACACCACCTTCTCAGAATTATGTATCAAGAAATTATCACCATAGTTGATTCCAAGGAGTGAGAAGGAAAACTGGGACACAGCCCACTGTTCTCAACTGAATAGCCAGTGATCAGGTCAGGTTGAGGTCTTGGTGTGCCAATACCATTGCCAAGGACTCACACTGTGTCCTTATGACCTCCCACATAGGCCATGCAGGCAGAGATTCAAGGGTGATCTCTGACAACAGACCTGTCTTCATTTGTAGTTTTCTGTTTAGTTCATTTAGGGGTGTTTTTGAATTGACAAAAAATTGCAGAGTGTGTGTGTAGGTTCAATCTATACAAACATGTTGTGGAATTTTAAAAACCTTCAACATTCATTATTTCACATGCTTTGTGTGGAGCAAAAATGACAGAAAGCAGTTCCCATTTTCTCATTCCTTTGCTAAGTTCCCTTCCTACTTGTATGTAACTCAATTTTTCAAATAAATCTTCAGAAAAATAAGCACGTTGTCTTGAGCGTGAACGTTGTTCTTATGTGTGTCTTCTTGATTCTGTAATCATGGGAGACTCATTAGATTAAGGCAATCATCACACAGATACACAAAAGAGTATTTATTTAGAAGAGAAAAAGGCAAACAGATAAATCTCACATCTGCATTAGAGAGTTGATTGTACTTTATAAAATCGCCTCTTGGATTTGAATTCATTACTAAATGTGTGTGTTCATCTTCTCACATGCACAAAGCAGAACCTTGAGAAGTCCATGGTCTTTTCAATGAGATTTCTGACATTGAGACTTTCCCTGTGCCTG